AAACACCTTTTATTGTACAGCAATAAAGGAATGGAACAGACTGCCCGCACATGTCAAAGCCAGTCATAGCATGAACCAGTTCAAGAAGAGTGCCAAAAGTGTCTGATGAATGTAGCTACAGAAAGGGGGGGGAATGATTTTCTTTTTTTTAGCTAACATACGTTAAATTTTTACCTTATTCCTAGTAATGACCCTCGTATTGTAGATAGTCTTAATGACCTTGGTGTAGTAGATAGTCTTTTTAGTATGATAATAAGATGTTATCTTCATTGTAGAATAATAAGAAAATATTATAACCTTTATATTATAATAATAAGGTAAAAGGACCCCAATGGAAATAAGTCACTCTGTCTGACTTTTTTGGGTTATCCTAGGTTCTCTACACATATGCTGCTATGTATGATAATTCTATGTAACTGTATTTGTGTATACCTGAATAAACTTACTTACTTACCTGGCCTACCTTATGTGAGAAGGTAGTGAGTGATTGTCAGTGTGGACACCTGCAGACTCCTTGCATGTCCGCTGCCCTCCGCCCCTATCCAAGTCTACTTGACCCTCCTCTCATCTTCAGCACATACGGTGCATATTCCTCAGTAGTAGTCAGGGATAATCAACCGTAGCTGTCTCACACAGCTGACCCTTGACCTTGGCATGGGGTTGGTCGCGCGATCTTGAGGGCCTCGGGCGTACTGTCCAGTGTAATGAGACGATGATGCCACTGTAATTATGGAGTGTATTGTTACTCTCATACTAGTCTGTTGGAAAGTGGGATGGCTATGAGATATATGGTACTGGGTGTTAATTAATGAAGCTTGCTTTGTTGTATGGTGATAGCTTAGATATCTGATTCCTTTTGTAAACATCATTAAATACATTGCAGTGTGAGGATATGCCTTTTACACATGCTTGAATTATACTCCCAACAAGACCGGAGTTTCTTACACAGGATATGGCTTCCAGCGGGTCCGGATTTTTTTTATGCATATCAATTTTACATGTAGTTGATGGGAGGTGGGGATGTTGTAGCTTTTAAGGCCATTTGAAGGGTGATGTCCATGCACTTATGGTAAGATAGCTATTGTGTGAGTGTGTCCTTCTTGGAGTCTCCCAACTTTGATGGAAAATGACCAATATGTTAAAAAATAAAAGGAAATTACATGGCTTTAGTTTATATTGATGTTATTTTATTACTGTACTAATTTTGTTAGGTATCCTTGATGGGAGTTTACCTGGAGTTTACCTGGAGAGAGTTCCGGGGGTCAACTCCCCCGCGGCCCGGTCTGTGACCAGGCCTCCTGGTGGATCAGAGCCTGATCAACCAGGCTGTTACTGTTGGCTGCACGCAAACCAACGTACGAGCCACAGCCCGGCTGGTCAGGAACCGACTTTAGGTGCTTGTCCAGTGCCAGCTTGAAGACTGCCAGGGGTCTGTTGGTAATCCCCCTTATGTATGCTGGGAGGCAGTTGAACAGTCTCGGGCCCCTGACACTTATTGTATGGTCTCTTAACGTGCTAGTGACACCCCTGCTTTTCATTGGGGGGATGTTGCATCCTCTGCCAAGTCTTTTGCTTTCGTATTGAGTGATTTTCGTGAGCAAGTTTGGTACTAGTCCCTCTAGGATTTTCCAGGTGTATATAATCATGTATCTCTCCCGCCTGCGTTCCAGGGAATACAGGTTTAGGAACCTCAAGCGCTCCCAGTAATTGAGGTGTTTTATCTCCGTTATGCGTGCCGTGAAGGTTCTCTGTACATTTTATAGGTCAGCAATTTCACCTGCCTTGAAAGGTGCTGTTAGTGTGCAGCAATATTTCAGCCTAGATAGAACAAGTGACCTGAAGAGTGTCATCATGGGCTTGGCCTCCCTAGTTTTGAAGGTTCTCATTATCCATCCTGTCATTTTTCTAGCAGATGCGATTGATACAGTGTTATGGTCCTTGAAGGTGAGATCCTCCGACATGATCACTCCCAGGTCTTTGACGTTGGTGTTTCGCTCTATTTTGTGGCCAGAATTTGTTTTGTACTCTGATGAAGATTTAATTTCCTCGTGTTTACCATATCTGAGTAATTGAAATTTCTCATCGTTGAACTTCATATTGTTTTCTGCAGCCCACTGAAAGATTCGGTTGATGTCCGCCTGGAGCCTTGCAGTGTCTGCAATGGAAGACACTGTCATGCAGATTCGGGTGTCATCTGCAAAGGAAGACACTGTGCTGTGGCTGACATCCTTGTCTATGTCAGATGAGGATGAGGAACAAGATGGGAGCGAGTACTGTGCCTTGTGGAACAGCTTTTCACCGTAGCTGCCTCGGACTTTACTCTGTTGACTACTACTCTCTGTGTTCTGTTAGTGAGGAAATTATAGATCCATTGACCGACTTTTCCTGTTATTCCTTTAGCACGCATTTTGTGCACTATTACGCCATGGTCACACTTGTCGAAGGCTTTTGCAAAGTCTATATATATTACATCTGCATTCTTTTTGTCTTCTAGTGCATCTAGGACCTTGTCGTAGTGATCCAATAGTTGAGACAGACAGGAGCAACCTGTTCTAAACCCATGTTGCCCTGGGTTGTGTAACTGATGGGTTTCTAGATGGGTGGAGATCTTGCTTCTTAGGACCCTTTCAAAGATTTTATGATATGGGATGTTAGTGCTATCGGTCTGTAGTTCTTTGCTGTTGCTTTACTGCCCCCTTTGTGGAGTGGGGCTATGTCTGTTGTTTTTAGTAACTGTGGGACGACCCCCGTGTCCATGCTCCCTCTCCATAGGATGGAAAAGGCTCGTGATAGGGGCTTCTTGCAGTTCTTGATGAACACAGAGTTCCATGAGTCTGGCCCTGGGGCAGAGTGCATGGGCATGTCATTTATCGCCTGTTCGAAGTCATTTGGCGTCAGGATAACATCGGATAGGCTTGTGTTAACCAAATTCTGTGGCTCTCCCATAAAAAATTCATTTTGATCTTCGACTCTCAGTCTGATTAGCGGCTTGCTAAAAACTGAGTCATATTGGGACTTGAGTAGCTCACTCATTTCCTTGCTGTCATCTGTGTAGGACCCATCTTGTTTAAGTAGGGGCCCAATACTGGACGTTGTTCTCGATTTTGATTTGGCATAGGAGAAGAAATACTTTGGGTTTCTTTCGATTTCATTTATGGCTTTTAGTTCTTCCCGCGATTCCTGACTCCTATAAGATTCCTTTAGCTTAAGTTCGATGCTTTCTATTTCTCTGACCAGTGTCTCCCTACGCATTTCAGATATTCTTTTCCGTCGCCTGTAAAGGGAGCGCCTGTCTCTTTCTAGTTTACATCTACTCCTACATCGAGTGCCACCAAGTTAATCTGTTCTAGGCATAAGTTGGGGTCTGTGTTGCTTAGTATATCTTCCCAGCTTATATCGGTTAGGACTTGGTTTACTTGGTCCCACTTTGTTTTTGTTATTGAAGTTGAATTTGGTGAATGCTCCCTCATGACTAATCTCATTATGTCGGTCTGGGGCTCCGCGCATACATGTCTGAACCTCAATTATGTTGTGATCTGAGTATATTGTTTTTGATATGGTGACATTTCTTATCAGATCATCATTGTTAGTGAAGATGAGGTCTAGTGTATTCTCCAGTCTAGTAGGCTCTATTATTTGCTGGTTTAAATTGAATTTTGTGCAGAGATTTAAAAGCTCGTGCGAGTGTGAGTTTTCATCAGAGCTGCCTCCTGGTGTTATTACTGCAACAATATTATTTGCTATATTCCTCCATTTTAGGTGCCTTAAGTTGAAATCTCCCAGGAGCAAGATGTTGGGTGCAGGAGCTGGAAGATTTTCCAGACAGTGGTCAATTTTTAACAGCTGTTCCTGGAATTGCTGGGATGTTGCATCCGGAGGCTTGTAGACTACCACAATGACTAGGTTTTGGTTCTCGATCTTTACTGCTAAAACTTCCACTACATCATTTGAGGCATTAAGCAGTTCTGTGCAAACAAGTGACTCTGCAATGTACAGGCCAACCCCCCCCCTTTTGCCTGTTCACTCTGTCACATCTGTATAGGTTGTAACCTGGGATCCATATTTCGTTGTCCAAGTGATCCTTTATGTGGGTCTCAGTGAAAGCCGCGAACATTACCTTTGCCTCTGCAAGCAGTCCACGGATGAAAGGTATTTTGTTGTTTGTTGCTGGCTTTAGACCCTGTATATTTGCAAAGAAGAATGTCATCGGACTGGTGGTATTGTTGGTACTGGGGGGGGATTTTTTTTCCAGCATTAGTATCTGTATCTGTATTTAGTTTGGGATAAGTGGTTTCCTGAATATTTTTTTCTTCGAACTTTTCAGCTTTCTTTTGTTCATAACTCCAAGAACCCTTCATCCTGTTGGAGTGATTCTGAATGCTTGTTTATGGTAACAAGGACCAGATTCTAGGAACAGTTGGTATGTGCAGGTACCCTATGGCCAAAGTTATAGACTCCCATTCTCAGCATTCTGGAATGGCTTGGATAATTTCAAAAACTCTCAGTGGTGTAGCTACCAATGTTCAAAAATAGGTGCTAATTTGATGGTGGTGGAAAGTGAAATTCAAGTGGGTACCTGCAGGTTTGATCAGTTAGTGTGAAATTTTGATTGCTGTTTGCCATTTAATTATCACAGTATTCTGAATGTTGTCACTAGTATTTAATGGTTGATGCATTTTTCAGCCAGGATAGTGTCCCTTTGGTTTAGTTTGTGAGATAATTTGTCAATGCAATAAATATCTTTTTTAACTTGGAATCATTGACATATCCATCATATTGAACTATCTTAAAAACACAAAATCAGCTTTTTCTTGAAGGATTGTAGGTAATTATAAAACTAATACAACTGCAAAAAGCACTTAAAAAATATATATATTAAATACCAGCATTTTTTAATTTTATGAGTTATGCAATAGTCTAAGCTTTATTAATATTTAAAATAATTATGCAGTAGTCTAAGCTTTATTAGTTTAAAAATTTTATGCATTATTTGTTGTCAGTTAATGGAGGACATCGGAGACGAGTGCTGGTACTGGCCCTTCCTGATTTGGTCATGGACACAGAGGGTCGTGCAAGTGGTGCCTGCACTCCACCATCTTCTATCCCCTCTGCACAGTCTTCCTTTGGTGACTTAAACTCCATAAACAGTTTTAGTGGAGTTGGTGGCAGGTATGGAGTGAGACCACGTCCAGCATGGCATAAACCCAGAGCTTTATCTTGTGATGTGACTATGGAGGTTGAAGTTGGTCAGGAGCTCCGGAGAATTGCTGACACCTTTGGTTCTCAGGTAAGGACTTGAATTGACAGATGTAAAATGCATATTACCAATAGTATTACTGTATTATAGGCAGGCCCTGTCATGGCAGATTAGGTGTTGGGCTACTGTGCGGCCCTGCTCGTACAGCAGGTTAGGTTCTGGGCTAATGCTGTAAAGCAAAAGTTGCTGTAAAGTGAATCAGTCTTTTCTCAAATGCATATACAGCTGTATGACCCTTGTAGGTTTAGTGCTTGTTTTTTATGTATAATAATAATAATCAAATACATATAAAAGCCTGATAACATGCATACACTATCATATATTAAGTGAGAAATAGAGTAATACAGTGGTCCCTCGTTGTTCGTAATTTATCCGTTCCTGGAGTCGTTACTATAAACGAAATTTACGATTTACGAATCAATTTTCCCCATTAGAAATAATGTAAATACAATTAATTCGTTCCTGACACCCAGAAGTATTAAAACAAAAAATTTTTAACATGAAATATACATGTAGTACATAAACAATACAATGGGAAATGATGAATGAAACATTAACAGCATAACACTTACCTTTATTGGAGATTCTTCTTAGTGTATGGGAGACTGGAGGAGGAGAGTGGATTGTTTATAGTTTGGAAGGGGAATCCCCTTCCATCAACACCTCAGGTACCATTTGCTTTTCTGGGGTTGCTTCTCTTCTCTGTTTCTTAATGCCACTAGGACCACCTTGAGAGTCACTGGAGTCCTGTCTCACAAAGTAACTGTGGAGAGAGCTCTGTTTCTGGCGTCTCTTTAACACTTCCCTAAAATGGCCCAAAGACTTTGTCACTGTACATGTTGCCAACCTGGCTTGCAACAACCTTGTTAGGGTGATGTTTTCTCCATAAAGCTTTCCATCTTACTCCACATAGTAAAAATCTCTTTAATTTCTGAAGAAGGCACCTTCTTCCATCTCTCTTCCTCCTCCTCTGCAGCAAGATTCTGAGCTGCGATGTGTTGCTCTTCCTGCTGAAGCTCTTGCAGCTCCTCAGTGGTGAGCTCTTCATTGTGGTCTTCCACCAATTCTTCCACATCCTCCAAACTCACATCCAACCCCATGGAACTCCCCAGTGCCACAATTGATTTTACAACAGACATAGGCTCATTAGGGTCAGTTCCAAATTCTTCAAAATCCCTCTTGTCGACACAATCTGGCCACAATTTTCTCCAGGCAGAGTTCAAAGTCCTGGTAGTCACTCCCTCCCAAGCCATACCTATAAGGGTTATGCAGTGGAGGATGCTGAAGTGTTCTCTCCAAAATTCCCTTAGGGTCAAGTGAGTGTCTGTGGTCACAGTCAAGCACCTGTGAAACATTGCTTTTGTGTAGAGTTTTTTAAAGTTTGCAATAACCTGCTGGTCCATGGGTTGGAGGAGAGGAGTGGTATTCGGGGGCAAGAGCTTTACTGTGATGAACCCAAACTCCTCGAAAATTAGGTCATCCAAGTTTGGAGGATGAGCAGGTGCATTGTCCATTACTAGCAGGCACTTGAGATCCAATTTCTTTTCCAAGAGATACTCCTTCACACTAGGGCCAAACACTTCATTGAACCACTCGACGAAAATTTCCCTCGTGACCCATGCCTTACTATTAGATTTCCAAAACACACACAATTTACTCTTCATAACATTGTTTTTCCTGAACACACTGGGATTTTCAGAATGGTACACTAGTAATGGCTTCACTTTGAAATCCCCACTAGCATTAGCACAGAACATTAGCGTCAGCCTGTCTTTCATAGGCTTGTGTCCTGGCATTGCCTTTTCCTCTTGTGTAATGAAGGTCCTCTTTGGCATTTTCTTCCAAAAGAGGCCTGTTTCGTCACAATTGAACACTTGTTCAGGTTTCAGTCCTTCAGCCTCTATAAGAGATAAGATTTCGTTCGGATTTTTAACCCCGGAGGGTTAGCCACCCAGGATAACCCAAGAAAGTCAGTGCGTCATCGAGGACTGTCTAACTTATTTCCATTGGGGTCCTTAATCTTGTCCCCCAGGATGCGACCCACACCAGTCGACTAACACCCAGGTACCTATTTGCTGCTAGGTGAACAGGACAACAGGTGTAAGGAAACGTGTCAAATGTTTCCACCCGCCGGGAATCGAACCCGGGCCCTCCATGTGTGAAGCGGGAGCTTTAGCCACCAGACCACCGGGCCACCCAATGTACTCCTGGAATTCATGCACATATTTTTCAGCCGCCTTGTGGTCCGAACTGGCAGCCTCACCATGCCTTACCACACTGTGTATGCCAGTACGGTTCTTAAATCTCTCAAACCAGCCTTTGCTGGCCTTAAATTCACTCACTTACCACTATTTGCAGGCAATTTCTTTACCAATTCTTCATGCAACTGCCTAGCCTTTTCACAAATAAACGAAGTCATAAGAGTATCTCCTGCTAATTGTTTTTTCATTTATCCACACCAATAATAACTTCTCAACCTCTTCCAGTACTGGTGATCTCATTTTTGTCAGCATAGTTACTCCCTTTGCAACAACAGCATCCTTTATTTCATTTTTCTTGGCCACTATGGAACATAAGGTTGTGTAGGGTTTCTTATACATCCTGGACAGTTCGGCCACACTTGTACCACTTTCATATTGTTCAATGATGGTTTTCTTAAATTCAATCGTATTTCTCACCTTCTTTACCACAGGTTTGGCACTAGGAGCTTTCTTTGGAGCCATGGTAGCTTATTTAGTACTTGCAAGCACTAAAATAAATGGAATATTATGAAATATTTCGCTGGAGCACGTGAGAGGACCTTTGCTCACTGGTAAACAATGCCAGACTGGCTGCCGCCCTGGCTCACACCGTGGGTACGCGTCCCGGACGAACTACGACTCGCGAGTCAACCTATGAAAAGCGAGTCCATGTTTATACGAAAATACCCCTATGATTGGCGAATTTTACGATTGCCGGGAACTACGAAAAGCGGGGGACCACTGTACCTAAAAAGTGCATATACAATATGCACATTACTTACCTTGAAACATTTTCACCCTTAGTTTATAGCGAGTGGTGAATATATTTATTGTAGGAAGTCTGAATAAATGAAGAATGGGCACAGTTGAAAACCACTGCATTAGCAAAACACTGGAAAGCGAAGCTTAGTAAAGTGGGACCTCCTGTATATTCACCATATTCAACCTGTATGGGTCATTCAGCACTTTTGCGAGATATATAATAGTGGTCATATGTAAATTTAATCAGTGCTTATTATTCATTTTGTATATTGAATGGAAGATAATGTATAAAGGTATATGATATATTTTACTGTGTATTGAATGTAAGAAAAATAAAATGTTACTAAACAGAGAAGGGAGATTTTAAGTGACATGTCTATATTTCCACAGGTTGCTGATGGGGAACAGGTGTCTGTGTGGAGGCGTTTGCGTAATAGCTTAAGGAGGTAATGTATATACATTTAGAAAAAGCTAAATGGGTTCAATCTAAATGTAATTACAGTACACTGTATATAGTATGTTAAGGTATCTGGCTTACAGTTTTAATGTGAGCTACTGAAAATATATATCAGTGCCTTTATGCCAGTGCTTATATTCAAGCCTTACTCCTTTTATTATGCATCTTCAAGTTTGTAGGTTAGTGCTTAAATTCTATATTTTACTTAAGTAATTCCATTAAGTGAAATCTTATGACAGCTTGTTTGTTTGCTTTCATTGAAGCATCTTTAGTCATTGCATTTTTCAATTATAGTGATCAGGTACTGTAGTAATAGATTTGTTACAGTACATAGTATAAAATAGTTAGGGTTAGCAAATCAGGGTGGTGATGAATCAAGATCAACAAAGAGCAGACCTGAGGGAGTGAGGTTTAGTAAGTAAGTAAGTAAGTCATGTTTGACTTCACTAAAATAAGTTTGCTTTATATGCTCAACTGCAGGCATTTCACACCCTTGAGGTATGAAGTGGCATTTTTGTCAGTGTTTTGTTATGGTAACAGATATTAGTCTTATTTAAAACTAAGGTTGTAATGCTAAAGCTTCCTCAATATGTCAAACCATGCTCAAGTTATGAGGATAGAAGGTTGCAGACAAAGAATTTACTTATCTCCATATAATTCTAAAACAACAAGCTTTAATAAATGATACATTGCAGGAAGACAAATTTCCAGTTTGAATATTTGATTGTCTTATTTGTTTCGAAAAATATATTTTCATTACAGTACTGTAGTTCAGTATATTTTATCCAGACTGATTGTAAATGAATTCTCAATATTTTTCTCTTGTGTACAGCATAATGTTTGCTATTTTCAATATGTTCATTTCATATGGCTTAAGTGAACTCACATTCAAGGAAAGTGTATGCATTCTCAAGATATTGATGTGAGAGGTTACTTTGCAAGTCAGGTATCATTTTTAAGATTGTGCTCCACTGAAGCTATATGGCTTAAGTTTTGTCATTCTCTGAAGTAATACAATAATGAGATATGGAGTATGACAGGGCCTCTTAACTTATTACTGCCTCTATGTAACAAACATTCACATTTACAAATGGAGCACTTTTGAAGCAGTTAATTTTTTAGTTAGTCTACAGAGGTGTGTGAAACACAACTATCCTTTATGCTACAGTATTGTTTTATGTAGGGAAAAAGGTTCCTCATTACAAATGACACTTTTTGAAAGTTGAAACATTAGGAACTCAAGTCATTTCAAAGTTTGGGGCCCTTGTATGTACAGTATGTGATATCGTTTGCATTTGGATGCTTCATTTATATATAAACACTGCCAGTTACAGTATTAATAATACATTTTATTGTTGATTTTCCCCTATATCCTTCAATAGGCTTGTTAACAGGTATAGTACAGTACTTACCAGTTTATAACTTACAGTATTATGTTTTGAATGTATTTTATTGTATACTGCTAATAATTTGTGAATTATATCAGTACTAGCATTGAGTAAGACAATTATCAAGCCTGGACTTTTTTGAAAGAAGCACGGTTTGGTCTGTTAAGCTGAATTGTGCACAAGTACGTAGTTGTGAACCTATATGCGAGTGTGAAATCATTCATTTTTAGTAACAAATTTCATTTTGGGTTGGGGCCAAGTCTGCTCCTGACCCCATCTCTTAGACTATATTTGCTGGTATTATTTTCTTCATGGTCCTAACATTCATGGCTCATCTGTGTATTTAACGTTCATCTAAATGCCTGTCACTGTGTTTTGCATATCACCAATCTGTCCATATCTGCTGTCAAATCCTCTTCGTGTCTTGTACATGGTAATCATACCCTGCCTTTTAGTTCTATTTTCTAATGCCATCTAATTCAGCTCTTTTAGTCATCTCTAATTTCAGAGATCGGTCATTGAAAAACCTCCACACTTTCTCGAATTTTTTGAAAGATTAATTAGGCATTTAAATTCCATGCTGGTATTACACACACTGTGATAGGTCCAATAAATGCCCGTCTATACAGTCATGAATGATTCTCAAGTTCCTAAAAGCTGTGTTCTTAGGTTTTCCAGTCATTCATTTGCTGCAGAAGCTATTCAGTTGGTGTGCATCTCTATAGTGATGTGCTTAGTATTATACTCATTCCTAGGTCTGAGGTTTGCAACCTATGCTCTCCTCCCTTCCTCCTTTTCCCGCTTTATTTCTGTTACCCTGTTATAAAACTCCATTGGGTTTGTAAGAGAATTTACTGCTTTACATCTGGGGGTTCCCACTAATAAAAAACAGCTTGTCCCCAGGTGCTCCACCACTTTCCCATGATTATTTTTCTCTATGACGTGTTCTGCCCTGTTTGGGGTTTGAGGAGTTGATTTTGGGCTGCTGGGGCATGTGCATGAGAGAGAATTTGCAAGAGAGAATGAGTGAGAACGGGGTGTATGTATGAAACATTTGAATGAGAGAAACAAAAGGGGGAGTGTGTGGTGAAGAGAACAGATAAAATGAGCACACACAAAAACCCGGCTTATCTATTAGATTAGTAGTGCTAGGGCTCAAAATTTCCCCATTCTTTGGGTTAAATTTTACTGAAAATTCCAATATAATTTCTTTAAGCCTTTTGGGGGGATATTGGGTGGTTTGTTTTTTTTAAAAAAAAAAAAATTTCTTTAAATTTTCAATGGTTTAAAAAAAGCCCTTTTTCACTCCATTCCAGCTATTTAAACCCTTTTAAATTTTGAATAATTTTTCTTAAGTAACATTTGGGACCCTTTTTTTTTAACTGAAAAAAAGCAGCCTGTTAGTGTTCTTTTTGATTTTTAAAAAAAAAATTTCCCCAACCCCTTTTTGGGGGTTTTTTAAAATTTTTTTACGAACTTGCATGTAATATATAGTAGTTACATTTTATTGTCTCCTGTTTTCTTGTAAGAGTATGTACAGTTAGTTTGCCTTTATAATTTTTGGTTTGGAATCTTATTTTGTCCATGTATTTGAACTGCAAACACCACACACTACAGCCATATATTTAATTTTTAGTGTAACATTGTGATTTTTTTTCTATACGTGCTCCATGCTCAATTTATTTTTATTTCCTAGTATTGCTAAAAAATTTCTTTCCTAAACATTATTTTTCAGTTGATAAGTTGTTATTTATAATCATCCTAATATTTAATTACAGGAAGGCCCTGCTTAATACAGCAGGTTAGGTTCTGAGCTACTGCTGTAAAGTGAAGCATAGCCTTTTCTCACTTTTAAATGCATATAAAAGCCTGATTAACATGTTTACACTATCATATATTAAATGAGCAATAGAATTAGGCCTAAAAAGTCCATATACAGTACATACATTACTTAAAATATTTTTATCCTTAGCTTATAGTGAGTATTGAATATATTTATTGTAGGAAGTCTGAATAAATGAAAATGGATATAATTGAATACTGCTGCATTAGCAAAGTGCCATAAAGCGGGGCCTGCCTGTAGATGTCCTGAAGATTTTATCAATGTTTTTCATCTTGACAATTCATTCCATTACATGATATTTATTGACATAAAGTTCTGTCCTTTGAACACCATTTTCTTAGTGCATCTAAATCTTCTTACAAGCTCTCTAGACCTCTATTTTTAATGAACATTTTGCAGTCTGTAAATATGCTTAGCTTGTAATTCCTGATCCTCATTGGAACTCACTCGTTGTATATTGGCGCAGTACTTATTTCCAATTTCTTTATCTATGTGAATAATAATCTTAAATACAATCCAGAGTAAATAAGACTTGCTTACACATTTCTTTATGATCCAGGATGATACCTTGTCTAATTCTTCCAGTTAATTCTTATAATATTTTTTCCTCTCTTGTTAATGCATTTGACTCAGTTTTAATTAGTTTTTCAGCTAGCTTAGGTTGGATTCACTATTACAAAAGCCTTTTGTAAATTTTCCCATTGAACACAGCACATTTTATCAGAATCATTAATTTTTTTACTGCATAGTTTAATTTTTTACAATTACCTTGTTTTTAAAAGATTTGAATATAATTCTTTTGGCTTGTAAAATATTACTTGAGTACTGAATATATATATAGTTTCTTCTTTTATGATCCAATATATCTTGTCTAAATTTTCTTTGTTTTCCAAGTCCTATCCATTGCTTATATTATATCTCTTAAACAGTTGGCCCAGGATGGATGCCATATTCATTTTTCTCACCAGATTTTTTTTTTCTGAATGTGTGCAGGTGTAATATGCATACACATGCACACGTGGGTGTGTGTTTTGCATGCAGGTTGGGTACATGACAGTAGGCATTGTAAAGATAATTGGTAATTTTTGTAAAGCCATGTTTGCTGTAATTTGTTGCATCAAGCTATAGGCAGCTTTTAGTTTCATGCATTACAATGCTTTGAATTGTAACATGTACCAGTGAAAGGATATTTATTTACTGACTAAATCTTTTATATAAGTTATATTTATAATGATCTCATTAATTAGCTAATTTGTACATAGTGTTGTTGGTATGTACATGTGCAATGAAAACTTACATTTAGTTGTTGAATTTGTAATTAAGCAATATGAAATTTGTACCTCTTATATTAATACTTGAGCATTTATAGTAATAAAAGCTGACCTAAAAATTAAGGTCTTCAGAGTATTGGAAGCTGCATAATTTTTGTCAATGTGATTATGGCTCCTATTTAATTAGTAATTTATAAAGGGGCATTTAATTTTGTAAGTGTATTAAGTTTGTTTTGAAAAATTTTTTGAGAAATGAAAAAGTAACCTTCCAGTTGTGTTTATCCAAAATTCTATTTTTTTTTTTAAATGTTTAATTAATTGTGGTGCTGTATTCTTTATTTTTATTACAAATGTCAAGGCAAACAGGAAGCCACAAAAGCAGTCTTGGGCATTACCTTTATAATAAACACTAGAAAATAAAGACTCAATATTTTGCATATGTATAGTGCTTAAATTATTAGATAAATTAATAATAATTCAAATGAAAGACTGAAGACATTGTTTTCATGTATTTTTCTTAGTAAATATTTTGTATTAATCAGTACTTTATTTATTGCAAGCCCTTGTGGCTTAGTGCTTCTTTTTGATTATAATAATAATAATAATAATTTATTTATTGCTCTAGGCTAACTTTCCCCTAAGACAAATTGCTGTACAACTGTGTTATGTAATTTTTACACTGAAATTTTGCATAACAAGATTTAAAAATTATAAATAATGCTTTTAACTTCAAGCTCAAACCCTTTAGCTACTATTCTACCATCCATTTACATTAACAATATCCCATGTATATTTCTGAGTAGAAAGAATCTGGAAACTTGTTTAATATCTTCTTTCTTCTTTCAACGTACCAGCCGTATCCCACTGAGGTGGGGTGGCCCAAAAGAAAAAACTGAAGTTTCTCCTTTTAAATTTAGTAATATATACAGGAGAAGGGGTTACTAGCCCCTTGCTCCCGGCATTTTAGTCGCCTCTTACGACACGCATGGCTTACAGAGGAAGAATTCTGTTCCACTTCCCCATGGAGATAAGAGGAAATAAACAAGAACAAGAATTAGAAAGAAAATAGAAGAAAACCCAGAGGGGTGTGTATATATATGCTTGTACATGTATGTGTAGTGTGACCTAAGTGTAAGTAGAAGTAGCAAGACTTACCTGTAATCTTGCATATTTATGAGACAGACAAAAGACACCAGCAATCCTACCATCATGTAAAACAATTACAGGCTTTCGTTTTACACTCACTTGGCAGGACGGTAGTACCTCCCTGGGCGGTTGCTGTCTACCAACCTACTTCCTACATTGTTAAATATCATACATTATTATTTTTATTATAATCATAACTAAGTGCTAAACCCACAAGGGTCATACAGTGCTGTTAATGTCAGAGTTCTGCTTCTTTTACTGTATCTATATAGTAATTACTGCTTTTTATTTAGTAAAGGACATTTTCACAAATATATTCCCCAGATACTCGAATTAATAGTATAGTACCACTTATTCATTCACTCTGAATATTTTAATGACAAAAGTATTATGTGGATAATTACTCATGATTAATACTTGCTACATGGGTGCACTAAATGTTAGGTACTTAAGGACAAAAACCACTGTAAATATTATGATTCGATAAAATTCTGATATTGGTTTGTTTACATCATAATTCATTAACATTTTGACAATTATTGATTTATTTATGTACTACTTGATTTCCATTTTTTTTTACATAATAATG